CAACCTCGTGCAAGCTTATCAAGAAAGAATACATATTGATTTGTCACACCGAGGTTTAGGGAAGGTCGGTTTCGAAATATCTCTGGGAATGATCACCGCCAAATGCTCTACCCATGACTATGACATGACTGAGAAACTATTCCAAAAAATTTCCTAATTCTACCTATTTTTGTATACTATGCCTTCATAAAGCTTTTCACATACTGGAAAAATTCTACCCTTTGCAATTTTCTCATCGAAGCAATACAAAATAGACGGCTACATTCCTAAAGACGTGGGAAATCAGCGCCAACGAATTTCTTGCATATTAACCACGTTCTCCATTAATCATGGACGTGATAATATTCGTGACTAAAACATGGCCAAAAATAATTTGGACCGTCGACTTCAACATGATTCCTTATTCGTTTTCTGAATGGTTGGAGACAAGTTTTCGATAACCAGCGCACTTGATGTTTCGCTAACTCAATAGAGAAACTTATGGCAGAAATTTTGCCCAATGTTTGTGACTTATTTCCTTACCAATTTTAAGTTCTATCCAGCACGACATTTTTTGTTATGGCAACACATTGCAACATGACGCTTATAACAGAACTCATCAGACCCAGCACGTTGCTTGTAGGTTATGTCGGCCAGATAAAGAGTAACGCGAATTTCGGCACTAGACGTTACTTCTACTGCATTGAAGCAGGAGCCTCAGGGTTGTACTTCAATCACATTAACCCAGACAATATCTTAGGCCGGCTGTAGCTAGATTGCATGGCGCGTCCCATGATGACGGATTGAATAGCTTAGCTCAAACACAGACCCAAGGGCTAATATGCACTTTGATGCTTGTTCATGCAATGGATTTAGAAAGCGAAATTTCCTTTTCTGTTGAGGCAAATTGTCTTACACCTTCCGTACGTAAGTATGACTATACGTTGACGTGCATTTTCGTGCATCGAGACTCAATCCTGTATGGCTAATAGACCAGAAACCTGTAGTGAATTAGCTGAAAAACTCATAAAAGGCAGTAGGGGTTGTTTTTAACAAAGCCTCAGACATGCTTCAAAAGAATTCAGTAAGCTACAACAGAGTCTATCAATCCAGTACAGGAGAGTACTACAAGTTAATTCTTGGTACCCTTACTAAAAGCACATTGCAAAAGATAAAACCATGCCGTTTATTAGTATAGTGATCCACCAATCCAACAAATAATCTAGGATAAAATGTAAAATGACGACATTCGACTTTTTCAAAGTCATCGTTATGTAGAATACTATTTTTCCCTGAAATACGACTTGCTAAACAAGAAAAAAATATGTCCGCTCCCACCAACTGTAATGTAAACATGTCAAACGAAAAGTTCTCATTACTAATGCACACCTCAAAAACCTCCCAGCAAAACTGAAAACGTACGAACAGCACTTCTGTTTATAATTCTTATACTACACAGTTGATGACAATAAGAGGATTGTGCCATTTGTATCCAAAAGGAAGGAAAAATAACTCCACCTAAGCTTAACGATACCCTCTTACAAATAAACTATCGTAAATAATAGAATAAGCTGTGGATAATTGACAACGGTAACAGATTCTTATATTGGAAATACTATATTTTCCAGACAGATAGAAAACAGGCTGCGAGACAAGCGAAAAGGACTGGCATGGTGTGGTGGTGAACGCGCTAGCCCCCGGAAAGGGTAATAGTGCTTTCACTCACCATTGCAGACACCTACGGTCTAAAGTTTTGCAAATATCTCAGCATCACTGCGGTTGCACCACATTTTATCTTAGTATTAAAAAAAACAGGCGGCGGGAAGATCAGCTGCTGGTGATGCCATGCAATAACATTAGCTGGTCATGGGGTTAAGCACGCTGCATTCCCCAAGGATCTCATGTATCTTGGATTAGCAAATTAATATCAAACATATCTGGGAACAACTCCCTACCGATCCACAAATGTCCGCGACTGACTGTGGTAGTACCCTCGGGATTACTCCAGTAAGGTATCCCATGAATCAAAAGCGTCTCAACTCGACCAACACTGAGCGACATTCGTAAAGAAGACAAAACCCCTATAGTGGTCGAGCCCATGTGCAAATCCAAAGATTTTCGTAGATGATTAATGCTAGGCAAGAAATCGGGCCTATGAAACGCTGGGACCTGCTTAATATGTGGAGTCAGATTGTTCCTTAAAGAAATTTCAAAGAAAAAAAAATACTTACAAGATTGTTGAGCCTTTCCAACTCCGTGTTAAACATCTCGTTTGGTTGCATCATCTTATCCAAAATCTTGTTTTGGGTATCACTAAAAGAACAGTACAAGTCATATTTTTCTCACCTTAACAACAATACGTTGCATCTATCTTACTTGATCTCGTCAAGCAACGCAAACACCCTCTCGGACTCCGCATTCATCACGTGGTCAGCGCTTGTCTAAACAGAAAGCCTTGAAACCCACAAAAAGTATAACGAACGCACAAGCTACTGATAGAAAGAAGACACGTTGTCAGTAAAATATGAATGATGTGGTGCAATGCTCGAAGAAATACGAATATTACAAATGATAAAAACATAATTTACCGTGTTCTCATCATCTACTTAGATACTTACGTCCTCAATGGTTGTGCGGACCCCAGCATAATCTCCAATTTTTCGGAGTTTTGCTAATTTAGCCATTGTGGTCTCTGAAGTCTCGAGGTCAGCCAGGCCAAAGTCTGCCCCAGGTCCCCGCCACCACAGGCAGTCGCAGCCCTTGTGGATCAGAGGGAGATTTCCCAACAAGCGAGTAGTCTGATACCAGGACGGTGACGAATCTTGCCAATGGTTTTCTCTTAGCTAGGCTTCCTGATGGAAACGTCGGACTCCTTCTCAACTTGGAAGACCCCGTCGGGGAGATGAATTCCCCTGATGTACATCGCAGCCCGATACCCAGGAACACCTCCCAACCATGATGAGGCGGTAAACAGCTGGGAGGTTTTATCACCTAAAGTGCAACTGATATCGCAAAACAACCAAGGTTATTTGTAAGAAGTGCATAGGACTAAAAAAATAAATAAAGTCTAAACTTTTTTCAGTTTCGACGAACCAAAATTCTAAAATTTATTAAATAAGATATTTTAGCTTCAATTTATATGAGAAAGCAACATTACAATGAGTTATCAAGACAAATTCGAATAAATTTTTCTGTCAGTCATAACAACCACACTGGAAGTACTTAATATCCGAAAAAAGCTACACTTTAGAGAATTTCACAGGATTCATCGAAGAAAACATGTGAGAACGGAGTATGGGTAGAGAAATAGAGCCATTGGCATAACAAACGGTATAACTTTGAATATATACACTAATTATATAACAAAAACTATTGAAAGGTAAAGACAGCAAAATAAAAACGAGGTGAAATCCATGAGGCAAATAGTGGATGATAGTTTCCGTCTCATTTGCACTGATCCGTTATTTCCTAGTGGGTCGTTCCTAAGAAAACCCGTCAACTCTGGCAGAGTCTAAAATGTAAGTATCACACAATGCTAAAGACAGTAGAACGCGGCGAGCTAAATCTGTACGCTAGTTAGATTTAATTTGGTTTTTTAGGATTTAAGAAATTAATTCTAATTTGTTAGAAGGACTAATGATGATGAAAATACAGGACCTAATACGAAAAAACATGATGGTCCAAATGCGCCTTGGGCGAGTAAGATCAATTCAACATTGCTTAGATGTTATAGTGATGAATTGATGTCTTACGCATGCTTTCACTTGAAACATTAACAATTGATCCCATGGCGCTTTATATGCGTTTTGACGTTATCCTTGCGAGCGATTCTCCGACCGCAGATCGGACAGCTGTGCTTTTTCTCTCCAGAATGAACAAGATGATGACGACGCAGAGTACTAGCATCAGCGAAGCATCGACCACATGTTTTACAATAAAAGAACAACTTAAGCCATCAAAAGATGCATATAAAGCAATCTCAATATAAGTGGAAGCTGACTAAGAAGAATCTCAAAAGGGCTTACATTAAACGGTTTTTCACCAGTATGAGTTCGAATATGTGCTTTGACACAGTTCCAGCGCCCACGCTTGCCACAGTAGTCACAAGCATAAATCCTAGATTACGAATTTTCCAGCGCGCAGAACACAGAAAGACATATCAATTCCCTCTCTCGAGTTGAACAAACGACTACACAAATCAAACTAAACGGTAGCAATGTAGAGCCTTTAAACCTTCGAAAAGCACACCATTGCAACAATGTTTTCCTAACGTTTAACAAAAAATTCCCTACAGTTTTTGAAATAACCAGGTATATAACTTTCTCCTCTAATAAAAACAAACCTGCTTATGTGCATCCTCATGTGCTGTATTAGATCTGATTGATCCTCAGAAGGACATGCTTCGCAGTTTCTTTTCTCCTAAACACCGAACTAAAAAGGCATGAAATGAATTAAAGTACAGTTATCTATAAATTAATAAACGACTGAGAGTGACATACTACTTGGACAACCCATTCGTAACGTACTTTGTTCACATGGGCACGTAAGAAATGGTCTTCCATAACCTTAAAGTCCGGCGTCTGTTCTGGACAAAGTTGGCAAAGTAGTTCTAAAATTCGTAGATAATGGGAGATTTGTTTAGAATCAGTTAATTGTAAAGCGGTGTTTGTTGTGTGTTCGAAAAAGACTTTGCCGGCAGCACAACAGGTGATGGTTCGTGCTTCAGTTCTTTGAGGAAATTTTGCTTTATCATAGATTCATCTAAAATATCAAAAACAATTGTGACAGTAAATCATACAGGAGAAGCTCCAAAACAGAGAACAAACAACCGCAGAACGGAATAATTTCACAAAAACATCGAACGATTACCTTCGTCGGAAACCTTAGCCTTTACAGGAGCCAAAGCCACTAAGTGGTGTACTGTCGGCAGATCGCTTTTGTATGGAACTAAACTGATATCAATCCTTTCACATTAATATTTCACATAGTGCCTTGCTGTGAAAATTTGTAGTAGGTAAACAAAAAATTAGCATCGTGATTCCAACTACAGCCTCAAATTAACTGGTTTCGTTGCCGATTTGAAATCCCCAGATCTATCCCGTTGACGGGTGATTGCTAATGGCATTAGTAGACAAAAAACTGGCTGAGAGACAGGCGAAACGATGGACCCACATGGTGTGGTACTGAACGCGTTAGCTCGCGGGAATGGCAACAGTGCGTTCGTTCCCCACCACAGACACCTGCGGCCCGGGGTTTCGCGAATATTCCAGCATCACTGTGGTTGTGCCACACATAATAGTTTGCCATGAAAAATTGTAATAAGCAGCAAGTAAAAATTTAACATTGTAACCTGATATTTTTAACTTCGAGGGCATCAGCAAACCGGAAATGAATGGACCAGTAAATCAGGGCCATTCAAGAGAGAACTACGAAAATTAGTGGCAGTGGATTCCTAGGTTCTACGAGCTGATTTTGACCAATGAATAGCAAACAAGTATGCTGTTTGATCTCGTTAGTTTATAGCGTTGATTCATGGTCGATGACAACATCTTCCGCGATCCACAATCAGCTACCTCCAAATATTTGAATCAATTGCCACTGCACTTATCCAACAAGAATCTTCTTTTGTAAGGCTTTAGTTTAAATTACAACCTGTATATTATTTTAACATCTGTGGTCGAAAACTAGTTCTTTATGAAACTGCTGTTAGTTTTCCGACAACCAGAATACGTGAAGAATTAAAAACTTAATCCGCTGGTAGCGGCTTCGGCTTTAAAACTTATTCGTAATTTAAAGTTGTCTAAGATAGAAAACTCCGAAAAAAGTAAAAAAACCGTTTAAATCTTTAAAATTCCAAAATAAATTCTAGCCAAGAACACCATCACGTCTTAATGAACGAAATAGCGCTTTTTCCGCCGCTTGCATTTTAGAAATACGAGTGCTGACTGAAAGAAGTGGCAAAAGCACGATTTCTGGAGAGTGTAAAACCAGGACTTTATCTTGACTGAATACCAAATAATTCATTTTTTGCGTTATTTGCGTTATCGGCAAAGATTTCTAGATTCTAATGGATTCCATTCCAATTAATAAAGTTCATTTTGAGTTGAGATGTGTTGGTTCAAAGTTGAAAATGGCCGATGTTATGGAACCGTGTGAATGGAAACCAACACATGTCGGATGGTAAGTGTTCTGCTAAAAAGGAAAATCAAAATTTAGGTCTACCTTGGGCAACTGCATGGAACACTGTGTGAATTTTTGTCCACAGCAAAATCTGAGGCAGTGGAAGATCTGAGTAAAATTTTCAACAGTTCTATTTCTTGTTCTTGCCACTTTGCCATCTCTTTAACCTGAAAAAAGGAAATAATAAACGAAATAATGCGTATACCGGTAGTAACAGTAGTTTCTCATAGGAGAGAATTCAGCTTCATGGACTCGAAGTTTTAGTTCTGTAGCGACTCGCATTATCTTCTCTGCCATATAGCGGGCTTTAATGTATATGAACTAACTAATAAAAAGATTAATTTGAGACGAAGCAGCAAAAAACAAAAAACTACCTTCCCCTCACTTACGACTGAAAATAGATGCTCATTCAGCTCGCGATCATTGGGCTTCCGCAAAAGAAGCCTTCGAATAGCTCCGTCGTGATAGCAAATGAGAAAAAGATTTCCATTTTCGGAATCAATACGAAGGGCTATCAAGCTGGAACGATACATTAGAATAAGTGGTGGGTCAGAACAAGCACAACTTTTCTTGGTGCTCATATAAGAAGAACAGCGGCAATTTAATGGAATACCTAGTGTCTGAATACGAAGACGAACATAAATGCTCCAACGTGGAAATCCAATCCTCGGTCTGTTGAGAGTCAAGCTCCCCAAGAAAGTGCACTTGGTTCGGTAGCCGAAGCACAACGAATCCTCCAAGAAGTTTCAGCATAACAGTGAAAGCTCACTCTTAACAGATGCAACCTAAAAGAGGGTAAAACAAATTGAACTATCCAGAAATCATATTTGAAAATGGGAGAGGTCATTCGAAACAATGAAGTGTAGTTCGCGATGAATAAACTCTACCAAAGAATGTTCGAAAGCTATTCTCGTTCTACGAAACTTTTAATAAGTACTACTCATACTAGAAAAAAAACGTTTAGACAGAACAATGATAGTTTCATATAGATGTCAACCACTTTTGACAGAAGCGAGTCGTTCTTAGTTCTAAAAGCTAAGTACTTCCTTGGACAAAAACTGCTTTTATAAGGTGTAAGTTCTCCCATTCTCTAAAAAACCTTCTACTTGAAGAAAAATGGTACAACTTTTACAATGATGACTGTTATTATATTATTATTACTACCATTACTAGTCTCATAGCAATTCCTACTATCAATACTGTATGAAGAAAATTACCTATTTCCGATTAAAGCAGAGGGAATGGAAAACTCCGCCTTGTACAGACTTGGCATCAGATGTAGCAAAAACAGTATGACACAAGAAACGAAAGTAAATGAAGGCAAACATGCGCCGTGGGCAAAAATCGCCCTTGTTGCAAATGTTGACCCATTTGCAATGATATGAGTTATATATGACTCATACATGGCTAAAGCTGCTACATCATTTCGGTTGGTTTTCTACAAAGATATCTCAGCTCACTGTGGATTCGATCGTTTGGAATAGAATTTTAGATTAGTTTCCTCATCTTTTCCAAGAACTTTGCGTAAATCATAACGATGAAATTGTTGTTTTCTAGTCTTCACAAGTCGGTTTTTTTCTCGTTTCCGCTGGAACGGCGACGGCCAGGACACTATTCCACCGAACGCACCATCGTTGTGGATGGTTCCATCAGAAAGTTTGCCATTTTGGGTAAGTTCTTCAGCTTATTGAAGGTTTGAATTTTAGCAGGAAGAAACGATACTTTAGGGCGGCTACACCTGCCATTCACTTTAAGGCCAATAGGGCAAAGTACTTTTCATAAACTACTATGTTCTCCTCAAGCATTCCAGTTATCAACGGATTGTCAGCAGTTATCAGAAAATCAGCACGATCTACAGCATGCAGCCAGGTTTACGCGGGGAAAGAGGGAACTTCTTGTTGCTGTCTTCCGAAGAATCAGCACTTCATATATGGGAATGTTCTATGAACATTTCCATGTCAATGGTAAATATTAGTTTATAGACTGACTGCCTCCTAACGATTTATCGCATTATCGTGGCTGCTGTATATGGAGCTGCGATGTACAGTGGGTGGATCCATTCCTCCCGCAAGGTTTCCCAAACTGAGAAGGAGTCTGTCGATTTCATCAGCAAGGCCAGCTAAGATTAAACTAATGCCAGGATCCACCACGGTCCTGCTGTCGAACTAGTCGCATGGTGGCAAACCAACTTCTGATCCACAAGGGCGGTGAGTCCCTGTGGTGGTGACTACCTGTGGCAGACTTTGACCTGGCTTACCTCAAGACCCCAAGAAACGACAACGGCTAAACCAGCAAAACTCCGAAAAATTGGAGATTATGCAGGCCCGCACAACTAGTTAAGAAGCGGCCACCAAATATCCAAATAAGATTGGTTGCTAGAGTGTGACTATTAGGTATTAGATTATTAACAGAGAGATTAAATGCATCTCAACTTTGCTTTGGCAAGTATAATATTAAAAATGAGCATTGAGCATCAGATGGCTGATAGTGTGTCAATTTTCTGCTAAGAAAACTCCGGGTTTCCGTCCTTCCACATCCTGAATTTGCAGAGCAACTGAAATAGGCCGATAGTATAGTATCAGGGCGTCTTTGTTTACTTTCTGATAGCTTTTACTCTATGTGAAATTGTTACTCTTGAAGATGTTACTGACAGAAATATCTCATTATTGTAAAATTATCTGCAGAGTGTAAGGCAATAGTAGTAGTTTCTTTTCTTTATGACGTAAAGTATCCCACTGGAATACATGAGATTTTTCACATAACGTGACATCACCAGTTGTGCGGATTCCAATACGTGTTTCATTTGATTATATTATCCGAGAAGGTCTTCGGATTTGCGCGTGATCGCGACTGCTGCTTGAAGATTCTTGGTCTTTCTTATTACTGTGGATGAATTCTTCCATCGATTTTCCATGAAATCCTGGGATACTCTTCTCACGACATTGCGAGATCTCCGCAATAGGCAGTTACTATATTTTGTAGATCGGAGGGAGTTTTTCTAACAAAACTTTTACCGATCCGTTGACACCGGAGAGATGGAGGACTTCGCTCGCCCGTATGGGATGGCACCGGGATCTTGCACGTTGTATTGATCGATGTCTTTAACACTGGGCTACCCGCATTCGAATGTTTGAGACAAGTAATACGTATTGACATAAAAACTCACTATATTAAAGACGTTAAAGTGCTGGGAATGTAAAGAGGGTCACAAAAAAGGAGAAAATAGTGGATTATGGTAACATGTTATGTATATGTGTCAATGTTTATAACTGGTTACCAAAATGACTTATAGGAGCAGCTCTTATTAACTAACGCTTATTTTTTGAATTAGAGTACATTTCAATACTTTCCAAATGTGTTTGTCTTCAGTAGATATCAGATGTTGGTAGGTGACACCGAACGTCATCACAGCCATGGCAAGTATCTCGGCTTATCAGTTCGTGTAGCACCAAAATTATCAGATCGATCAGGAATGCTAGTCCAGCCAGGGAACATAGTACCTATGATAATATTTTTGTGTATTTATTAGAAGATGTGGGACATTAGAAGCACCAAGATCGAGTGCTTACTTGGTGCTAAAAAATAACGTCGCTGAATTTTCTTTAACAATCCAACATACCGTAGCTAACCACCATGTTGTATATCCCCATCGAATGCTACTATACGTCATCACTATGACATTGATTAGGAAAAGGAAGGCGAATGAACCGGAATAGAGGGATTCCTGAAACAAAAGGTTGTTTTTTTCGATTCAACGAGACGGCTAAACTTGTGTAATTTTGTAATTTGTATTTCTTTGTAATTGTAACCTTGAAATTTGCATTTTTTTCCACATGACCCTACATTGGATGTTGTGCGAACCTCACCACTTCTTTCATTCAATTCATTTACTCATATCTGTCATCGAGATTTTCGGAGTTACGTGTGGGTTATTTGCTGTTTGAGTATTTTGGTCCTCGTTATTAATCTCTTTGAATGCTTGTCGGATAGATACTCCTTGGATTCTTGGGATAATAGTGCTAGTGCGTTCCCAGATCTTCACGACAGGAAACCACCAGCATTTGTAAATCGGAGCTTCCCGGATAAGTCTAGTTTCAATTTATCGACTCCGAAATGATGGAAGGCATGGTTATTGGGTGGGTCGAAACAGGACTTTGCACGTATTAGTGAGCGGCAACCGTACCGACCATTGCGCTGCCCACGTGCCATCTGTACTCTACCTAGACATCCCATATCCTTGTTGTTTTCTTTATGGTCGCCATGGCTAACGTAACTATGGAGAAAAGAAAAAAAATTAGCAAGACAATGACCGACGGGATGTTTCAAGATGTTTGCCATTTTCATTTAGAGTTCCTTATCTTGATTAGTCAGTCACCTTATCAACAACTTTCACTGAGAATTTCTAGATCTTAATGCCATCTGGTGAATGCACTTTTCTAACATTTTGGTCAGAGTGTTTAAAGGTTAGGCCGCTATCTTCACAGTATAGTTGCATCTTCCGGAATTCTGAGGCAGATGTACTTCATTAAAGCCCCTGAGACACTTTCAACACGTGGCCCTTCCAAACCAGTTATCTACAATATTTACCGTCTTAACGACGATTGTTGTGAACTCTTCGTTAGTAAGCTAAAAATTCGGAAAGAGGTCCCCTACTTTTAGCTTGGTTTACGGTTTCAAAAGGTGACGAATTCGGCTTCTAAATCGTCCTTAAGCGGTCGGTTACTTTTACATTCCTACTTTCGTTTCTAATTTCGGTTTTGACATCTCTCTGAACCAACTAGTAAGAAGATCGAACGAAGGACTCGTCGCCGAACACACACCTCTCTCTGATCCACATCGTGGTGAGGACCTGGATACGCCCTTGCAAGGTTACATCAGGACTCCAGGGAGGATCAAGTTGCACGACCAGCAGTAGGCCAGCCTCAGTACCCCGCACACTGGGTGCTCCCGTCTATGACATCAGGCGGTGAGACAATCGGTGAGAGGCCAGAAAATCTTAGGTTACGCAGGACGTTATTGGAACCGGATCTGACGAATACACGCACGACACGCCATGGAGATTGTTTCTTACTATGCACGTATAATGCCAGAACACTTTCCACAGACGCCGATCTTCACGTCCTTCTTATAGCCGCAGATCGCATTAGATTTCATGCGATCGCATTACAAGAAGCAAAAATCGGGAAAAGCGACATACGCCAACTAAACAACGGGACCCTTGTGATCCGTGGAGAAAAGGCCCCGTCACGAAGTGTCGGTGGCATAGGCTTTGCCGTCCACCTGTCCATTATCCATCTCGTCGACTCATGCGTGATCCTTTCCCCTCGCATAGCCGTCCTCCGTCTTCAACTGTCGCATCATAAGAAGATCACTATCATAAACTGCAACTCACCGACCGACGCAGCTGATGAGGACGAATTAAATGCATTCTACTATCAGTTGGAGGAAGTCATCCGCAATGGTAAAGCATATCATAAATTTGTTGTTGGAGACTTCAACGCCAGAATAGGAAAGGCCAACGAGAGCGAATACAGGATCGGAATTTTTGAATTAGGAGAAAGAAATGAGAATGAAAACCGTCTCGCGTCTCAGCAGCACGTCTCCTCCAAGCAAACTCGTTTTTCCAGAAGAAATAAAGCCGCCGCTAGACATGGGAGTTTCCCAACGGCATGACTCATGCGGAGATCGACCATATTCTGGCAAACAGAAGATGGTATCGACTTGACACATCGCTAGTCCCGTCATTTTGTACTAGTTCTGATTATCGCCTTCTTCGCGCGAAGATTCGATTCAGCCGAAAGTTAGAAAAGAACTCTCTTCATCGACCACGAGGAAAAAGTCCAGCTGTATACGACGAAAACATTCTGAACGAAGTGCTGTCCAAACGTGATTGGCAGATTAAAGAAGACCCGACCGAAGACTACGAGCTACTTGTCGAAGGACTGAAAAGCTGCGCCGAATTTGCCTCAGTTCCTCAAGCAAGAAGATCGGATCGCATCCGCGTTATTGTCCTTACCGGGGAGTAGCGCACTTCACCACCACAACATCCGGGTCCTTCGTTTTGCCTGTCTCTCAGCTAGTTCTATCGACCTTTTGCCATCAGCATTAAAAAGACAAAGGTAGTAAATAAAAGGGTTGAGATTGTGATTATAACTAAGCCTCAGCTTAACTAGGTTCAATGCCGATTTGAGCTCCCCAGATCAATCCCGTTGACGGGTGATTGTTGATGGCAAAAGATCGATAGAACTAGGTGAGAGACCGGCAAAGCGAAAGACCCGGATGGTGTGGTGGTGAAGTGCGCTACTCCCCGGTAAGGACAATAGCGCGCGTTCGTTCACCACCGCATACACCTGCGGTCCGGAGTTTTGCAAATATCTTAACATTATATACGAGTTATATTTCGCAACATACCCTGCCATTAAAAAGAAAAAGGCAGTAAATAAAAGGGTTAAGAAGATGGGATTGTCAAAACTTCCTGCCATGATACAGAATTAATAGTGGAAACGTTCTACACCAACCTTTTCCGTTCCACAATCGCCGTCCCGGACCCTAATATCCCCGCTGGGGAAAAACTATCTGGAATTCTTCCGTTGGAGGTTCGAGTTGCGATAGAAAGCATGAAAAGAGACACAGCTATAGGACACGATAATATCACTGCCGATTTCCTTAGAGCTGGAGGCCACAATTTACATGCACTTCTCGCAAATCACATGACAGGCTACCTTCAAAAGGAAAAAAAAGACCAGTGGAGGACGTCGCGCACGGTTATCCTACCCAAGAAAGGAGACCGAAGTGATCTTCGTAACTATCGTCCCATATGCTTGTTAATTGTACTCTACAAGCTCTTCACGAAGATTATCCTCTTGTGCATATCAAGGACATTGGATGAGGCGCAACCAGTCGAGCAATCAGGATTTCGAAAAGAATTTTGCTGCATGGACCACATCCAAACCGCGTCCAGGGTCATCGAAGCTGGTCGGGAATACCACTTACCTTTAGTCCTAACATTTGTCGACTATGAGAAAGTGTTTGACAGTGTCGAAACGAATGCAATCCTATCAGCACTCGTCGACCAAGGAGTGGACCCGTCCCTACTTAAGGACTCTGTCCGGCCGTTATCGGAACTGCCCTACGAAAATACAGCTTTCCCATCGACCTCTTACAATACCTATAGGAAAAGGAGTTCGACAGGGCGACACAATATCGCCAAAGCTGTTCAGTGCCGCACCGCAGTGGATAATGAAGTCACTCGATTGGGATGAGAAAGGCATACGTATTGATAGAGTGTCCTCATGAAATCTCCGTTTCGCCGACAACATCGTCATCTTCTCAAGAAGTATCAGCGAAGCAGAAGTGATGATCAACGAGTTCAACGAACGGGAGAAAAAGATCGGATTTTGCATAAATTGAAAGAAGATCCAGTTCATGAAAAACCCATGGTGTGGATAGCTCTCTCATTGCAGGGACTCCCTCGTACGTTTACCTTGGGCGATCAATAAACATGGAAAACAACATGAAGGAGGAACTAGGCAGAAGAAGGAGAGCAACTCGGGCCGCATTCAGGCCTCTCAGAGAAGCCAACTGAAGGACCCGAAAATCCGCGCTCATCTCTTTGATTCAACGGTCCTCCCAGCGCTCTGTTATGCTGCAGAGGCGTGGGTTGATACTTCAACTACGTCAAGAATGCTTCGAACTACTCACAGAGCGCTTGAACGATGTCTTCTGAAATATAACCGACACTCTCAATATGTAGCCGAAATGCGAAGCTCTGGCCTTCGAAATCTGTCATATCTTCGAGGTCCAGCAGAATATACATCGATAGCGAAACAGATAGGCCGATCACATAATGAGAAGAACAGACGACAGATCTACGTAAAGAACAGTATAGTGGACTCCGAGAGAATGCAAACGTCTCTTTGGAGGACCACCTACACGTTGGACGGACGTGTTCGTGAACAAAGTTAATCAGCTGTACCCGCAGCTGCAGTTGTTTTACAGATCACAGTATGAGACTTGCAAGCGCTACCATGCTCGAACAAGACTAACACCATGGACTACGATTGAAATAGAAAGGAACGAATGGTATATGTGCTGGGGTCTGCTCAACTCGTGAAGACGGATCGTCCAAGTATCCAAGTATCCAAGACGAATTCTTTAGTTTGGATGATTATCTTGGAATTCTTATTTACAAAGTATTGCACTTCATCCTACGGAACTCGCTCATATGAGGGATCTCGAGCCGGTTAGTCTCGTAGCTACGTGGCGCGTCCCCAGTTGGTGGATAGGGGGTTAATCGCGGACCAAAAACGAGCTTTGCTTCCCGGAGACGCAGGTGGTTCCAGGGAATGGACTCCTGTTTCTGTTGAGCCGGTTTGGCACGTACTTTCTGTATTTACGAGGCGTGTTCATGCATGCATGTGTGGGTGCGTTCCAGTTTCTAAGTTCTAGTGAAGTTCTACAGAAACGACCGTACATTCTTCAAGGTCATCATTGGAGTTTTCAACGCCAAGATTGGACCAAGAAGAACGTCACATTGAGACGCACGGATTAGAATGGAACTAAAAAGGTTAGCGGCTGTCTGGGTTTATCATAACGACCAAGGCCATCCACGGTAACTCGCAATTCCAGAAGCACCGTCCTCAACGCTGGACGTGGGAGTCTCCCAGTGGAGAGTACTACATAGAAATATACCACATAGTAAATCGAAGCTTTACATAATCAATGTCGCTGTTGTCCCAAAATTCTATGCAGAATCATACCATCACTTCGTTTGTGCAAGACTTCATTTCTCGCTGAAAGGAGAAATAGCCGCTAAATTCAAAAAACGAGGTCCTAAAACCATCATAAACTGGGACTTATTCAATTCACTAGTCGGCTGTTGGCAAGATGCCGTTCTCGATAACATCAACGAGAAATACGATCAGCTCATTCAAGATCTTCGCGTTAGCGCTAGTTTGGAAGTCACCAACAAACGTCTGTTTCCAGAAACACTCCAGCTGATACCTCAGCGTGGAATCGCATGAGCTGCAGGCAACCGCTAACTAACGTCCAAACTTGAACAAAACCGTGTCGGCAACTATCGCCCAATTTGCTTGCTGTCTGTCGTCCAAAAACTTCACTCGAGTCATCCTAAACAGGATTGACAGAACACTGGACGAAGAGAAGCCATGTGAGCAAGCAGGGTTTCGAAAAGGCTTTATTACAATGGACCACATCCACAGGATAACAAGACTCACTGAAGTATCGCGGGAGTATAAAAGACCGCTCTGTCTCACTATAATCGATTTAAAGAAAGCCTGTGATTCAATTAAGATAGAAGCAGTCATGGAAGCCCTTGATAGTCAAGTAGTCCCTACTCAGTACATAAAAATTCTTTGTGAGCTGTACAAAAATTTCACAACTAAAATATCACCATTCTACAACAATATTATCATCGACACTGCCATCCTCGAGAACGTCATGCGAACATTGAAATGGAACAACATGGGAGTAAAAACCGATGGCCAGCAATAACACCATCTTCGCTTTGCTGATGACATCGTTCTTGTGTTACAAAACATTAGCCAAACGGAACGAATGCTCGCCGACCTTGAAAACCCCGTTGAAAACTGGTCTTCGACTAAATCTCACAAAAACAATGTTCATGTAGAACGCATTGGTCATGTGTGCCCCATTCACGCTCGCTCAACGGAACGAATATTTCCAAATGCTGCATTTACATCTATCTAGGTCGGGAAATCAACATGGTCGGCGACTTAGCTCAAAAGTTGAGCAGAAGGAGGCGAGCAGCTTGGTGAGCTTTCAAGAGCATCGAGGATGTAGTGAAGCGAACAAAGAACACCCGACTCCGTGCTTCGACTCAACGGTACTTCCTGCGCTAATGCATGCGTGAGAAACCTGGTCACTACTTAACAGGATGAAGGATCACTTAACGTTATTGAACGCGAAGTCGAAAGGACGATGCTAGGAGTACCCCGCATCACACGAGTAAGGGAAGGGACCTGAAGCTCCGACCTGTGTCAACAATCAAAAATCAAGGATACCGTTCAGTGCGTCAAACAGGCGAAAATAAGATGGGCCGGATACGTAATGTGTATGACCGACAACCGATGGACAGAGTTCGTCACGAAGAGCCTAGAAGAAAAGTATGGTGCTCAACGAGTCCCTAGAGCGAGCAGAACCCACTGGGCTAGTCTTGCCCGCGACAGGGAAAAATGGAGGATTTACTGGCGCCTGCTCGAGTCACTCGACGATCAACGGGGCTACAGGTGATACAGGTGGTTGTTCATCACGCACATGGCCCTAGTTCCATCTCGTTCCGTACGAATCATGCTTCCCAGGCCGCCATGATCGGGAAATCAATACCAGCCTTGACTCCGAAGCTCATTTCAATGCACGAAGGATACCATTTGCTTGTGATGGAGATCTGAGAACGCTCTAGCTTGGCTAATTCAGGATTCGCAGGAAAATTTATTCGAACAGTGTTCAACAACATCCGGGAAAAAGACCAAGTGGTCAAGCAAAACCACATGCAAATCCGAACACCTTCATGGTTGATGGATGCTAGTAAACCAAACGAATGCAGAAGTCCCAGTATCCGTATAATAAGCGGATGTCGGGTCGTATAAAAATAAAAAATATTGGTTAGATAGCTAGAGCTTCAGCTTAGGATGTGTACATCTCTATGTGCCTTCGAATGTGAACCTTTAAAGTAGTGAGATTTTAAAACATATTTCCTCTTAAAATCTCTACTGGTTTGATTGAATTATTTGAATTTTGAGCATTCATTTTGAAGAATCATGTGAGCACTGAATTTTATCAGGCTTTTCAGGTACCTTTGGACTGTATTCTCAAGTCATGCCACTATGTGAAAAATTCCAAATCGAGGTAGAAGACCCATGTATTTTCAATTAGTTTCAATTTAAAGTCGCAGAATGTGGATTTGTCGAACTTACCCAAAATATCCAGTCAACAGATGTGGCAACAATTTGCAGATTGAATACAAAGACAAGAATAAATGTGGTACTTGCAATGGATGCCAGAGCTGATGTCGCCATAGCAGCGTATGTTGCACAGAAATGCGAACCAGCAGCACCGATTAGAATCAAAGCACTCACCGATCCAGTCTATAAGGTAGGCACTTATGTTCCTAAGGAAGTAGTGCACTCGGCGAAGTATTCTTTCTCATATCCGTATTTCCAATAACCGACCTCCTAGGACTTCTCAAATAAAAGTTCTTTCCTAGAAACTTAGTTTCATACAGTGTGTTATATCCGCAGAATCTCACCAACTGAAATATCCGCAGCCCTGAGGTGACAGTCACAAGATTCCAGCACTCGAAACTGGGTCTCCTCTTATGTGCAATTCTAAAGAAACCTTTTGTTTTCGTAGGAAGTCGGAATAGAATTTCCCAATTGCTTGGAAGAGTTCGAATGTACAGAATTAGATCAACTTCGCGATTCATTATAGACACATCTAAAAAGTTCGTTACCCACCGAATTTCTGCGTGAGTCATTGGCTTCGTAAGCAGCAGCGAGTGATATCGACCATTGACTGATAAGGTGAAGAATTGGCAAATGATTGCCATATAAGGAGAACCTAATAGTAAGCAGAATTAATGTGACTGCCACCAATGTAAATGATATGAAATCCACTTCTACATTCTTCATAAGCACATTTTGCTTTGTTACTGATATGCTATCTGGGAGTGATTCAAACTCGACGTAGGTTTCCTCTTGTTTTGCTGAAAAGCCAATGAACTTCATCTTCGACATATCACCTCATCATTGTATGTACGTGTTTCGGCGTATCCAAGTTCTGAGCGATGTCTCCGTTTCTTCACAGGAGCAGAAATTCAGCTTAAACTGCGCCATTATTCCACCCGGACCGACAAAATCCGAGTGAAAGTTGATTTACAAATGATGACGTCGTTCAACTGCCACGAAATGTGGACACCATAGTGCACTTTATCGTTCAATCGAAGTAAACAGTCACTGGAGCACCAAACAATCAGGTGTTGTAGCAGACGTAGTGGTCATTTTAACAAGCTTTGAGCCGCACTTAACAAGAGCTAGTGGCTGGGCAAGAGAACTGAAAAAAAGAAGAATAACAAAAAAGCGGGTGACGGATACATAGAAGCGGGAAAGTTCAACCGAGGTTGCTTAAGTCCGCAAGAGCAGTGAGCTTCTTGCTCAAAAATCCATGTCTGTAATGAACGACTAGTTGATTAGAACAACATTTTATTCTGAATGATCGACAGAAACGAATAAATCAACAAGCATGCAACAAATTAACAATGATAACAACTGGTAATCTATAACTCTGACATTTACAAAGTGAGACAATGTTGTTGCGTGGTAAACAAATGTCACAGCAATTAGTAATAATTCTCACATATTTATTGGAATCTCATCTTTGAAGTTTCACTCAATGTAATCTAGAGATAACACCAAAATTGCTGGACGAGAGGAGCATGGCCATATCTCACAATTCCAGTCACTGCTGCCCAAATTTCTTCAATTTGAAAGGCGCTGTCGCAGGTTCAGAAGCTTGTGATCGACACGAACAAATTCGCTTTGGAGAACGAAAATGAAGCGTTTTTGGTGCATTAAAATTTGACCGTTCCGCAGATAATGACGCAACAGGACCATACACAGATGAACGGGACTGAAAGCCATGATGAAAGATCTAACAACAGATTTCACAAATATCTGTCCAAAACCATCTTATAACTAGAGACAAAACAGCCTAAAATTCAAATGTAGACAAAACCAAGCACTTCCATCCATACAGGAACCAAATGCAGAATTTTAGCAGGATTGAGGAATTCGGAAACTTTGCTAGACTACTTCATAACTTACCCTGTTGATGAGCACCCACTGCCCGCTACTAGCAAGAACAACAACTTGGTCACCAGGTCCCGAAATTAGAGACACAGCACGATATCTGGGAGCTCCGAACAGATCTACCATCGAAGCTGACCGCCGAACCGGGCCCCCGCACTTGGGAAACTGTAATTTAGTTCACGAATTAAAACAACATCACTACTAGATCATCATCACCATTACAGCTCACCTCAAAAAGAACTTTTGTGCTGGCACTCGGTTCTCCAAATCCGGCTGTGGCGCAAAGCACGAACAGGCTATTAGCGTCAGTGAAAGTGACATCTATGGGAAGACTGACACGCAATAGGCGTGACTCCTCTTAGAATAAAAAACGAAAGAAATGAGAATTTACATATGATAGCGAACTACTCGTTCTCGTTATCAAATACTGTATTTGTACCGCATAAGATAATATATGAAAAGGAATAATATCTGAGAAGGATACCCACTAGCTTTCACATCGATAACAAAAACTTGTGATCGGGTTGTGATCACCGCAACAAAACGACCACAGTACGACACCGCGAGCTGAGCAACTCCACCATAACCACCTGCAAAATATACCAGATAAAGAGGTAATCAAGACGTTGGTAGCGAAAACCGATTTTCCATTGCTCATGAATCATATGTGATTCGTGGTGACCAGTTCACACCTGAAGCCATACACATTAAGTATCGGTATCATCAACAACATTCTTTACCACACTTTGTCGGTAGGATGCCATATGGGACTCATCCAGAATACCGCGAATTCTAGTACCGCTCAAATGTGGTACTCTCGCTTATTTCTTACTTTCTCACCAGCAACGACCTCTGAGATACTCTAGATAATGTATTCAAAATAGAAGAAGGAAATCGTCTGCAAAACGGTACTGGGTAAATTATTAATTGAAGAGAGATGTCGAAAAAATTGTTGTACCTGGCAAAATAAACGGCGGAAAAAAGTAATACGTGATCAACGCCGGTAGTTTGCTTTGAGACGTATGAATCATATACAAGCCAAATTCATTATATCCTTACATTGTTCTAATATTCGTTTGAGCTCTCCTCCGTTAACAGATATCTGCCAAAGCTCAAAGTTGCTAGTGGTCATAAATAAAGAATTCCCAACGATCTGAAATAAATCGTTTATACCGTACAAATTAAAGAAACTGACTAACTTTTAGTGCAGAGGCCGTTTGAGTCTGAAATTTTTGTAGCAAGTCGATGGTTTGATCGCCTTTTACGTTAATCTGATAGACGGTTGTAAAATCACTGGTTGATATGGCCAATATGCGTCCATCATTTGATAAATCACTGCAAGGTATTGTATCATGCCCTCCTAGGTCCATCTATCGCATCACATTACAAGAACAAATACAGCACCATGAGACCAACGGTCTCTTGCGAGCACAATAAATTCGAGCAAAATAAACAGGCTGCCGCTTCATTACAACATCACCAGCAGAATTAGCACATTCGCTAGAGCCGTTTGTCCATAAGTCAACAAAAAATAGCCCGCGAGTCATTCTCAGTGAACCTCCCAGAGATAACAGCTTCTGTAGAAACATATCATCAACATATTGCACAGAAGCTCATCGAAGTACTTCAAAAAAAGCATACATTCCACTGATTGATTAGAACTTGGCAACCATCCTTTGTAATGTATATGTCGTGGTCTTCCCCCGCTGCGTAAATCTGCAATATTTTCGAAGCATTACAAAATAAATTCGTGATAAATGAAAAAGATAAAATAGTAGTTTACCGCAAAATCAAATAGTTGTAGCATTAAAACAAAACCAAAATGCAAGTTCACAAAAACAAAACCTTATCATCATAACATGCCATAGCTCTAACATCTCGCGCTGGTCCATTTCGCTTTTGTACGACGCGAAAATCATTGGCTGCCTGCAAATGACAAACCATGTTCTTATTTTTATAGGAGAAAAAAATACGAGAACTCCGAATTGTAGCGAGGCATACAATTTGTTTTATGCTTATTATTCTTGGGTCAACACCAGCAGCATGAATACGACCTTCACCGATAGCCAAGCACAGAATATCAGACTGGTGCGTCACCAAATTCTGAATAGTGAAATGCATCAGAGATCCGATTCCTTGTTAAAACACAACACTTGATACAGTCATATGTGATTCATCTCTTATCTGGTTGTTAGCCTTTCCTGTTTTTCTTTTCGTTTTTGTACTCAGTCGATTCCGCATACAATAGAGATTTTCGTGCCAGACGATGGACCAGCAAAGCTATTTTTATGCTTAATAATCTACAGAAAAATGTTTCCCCGAAATTGTTCTGCTGCCGAAGAGAATGTCAAGACAGTACGACTACGCCATCAGGAGGGTGAGATGTACCTGCAACCGGCATACCGAATAAATTTCGTGGCAGTTAATCGCTTTTGCACCGATACAGTAGCACAAAGATTGTTGATAATGAAGGCAATTGATATCTTTACCCTGGAAACGTTAGTGAACGGCATAAACCAGATATCAATCCTTTCACGTCTTGCAAGAAACTAAGCCTCGTCTCTGCGTGGCCGCCCCACGGAATCGGCCATAAGGCATGTGTTAACACCGAAGGAAACTCAAATATTATTGTACAACAACTAAAATGATCCTGAGATATCTGCAAAACTCCCGACCACAGGTGTCTGCGGTGCAGAACGAACGCGTTATCGGGTGATTGCTGATGGCAGTGATCGATAGAAATAACTGAGACAGGCGAAACGAAGGACCCGCATGGTGTGGTGGTGAGCGCGTTACTTCTCGGAAAGGACAATAACACGTTCGTTCCCCGCCGCAGATACCTGCGGTCCGGAGTTTTGCAAATATCTCAGCATCATTATGGTTGTTTCACAAATAATATCCTGCAGTAAAAACTAGTAAGAGGCAGTAAATAAAAAGTCAATACTATTATGTACTTTAACAAAACGGATGCAACTAACCCCTACAAGAGCACCACTACGAGGATTCCAGAGTGAAACAATTCCTCGAGAGTCCCCACTCGCTAGGATGATATCGTTGAAGAAGCAACAACTCCATACTATAGTTGGTAAACGCTTCTCCTTAAATGTTAAATGTCACAGAATTGAACTCTGAAAAAGAACGAAACCACACAAAATTCCACCTTTCTAGCTACCACTAAGTTATGGACGACAATATTGTTTTTAACCACAAATATATTATCCATAGCTCCGACAGCTACCTTAAACAATAGACAAATCTTAACAAATGAGAAAAAAATATACTGAAAAAAAGCGTTTTGTTTATAATAGTGGAAGATATAAATTACTATCCAAGTCGTTTTTAATTCCAAATTTCTCGTTTTTTCCGCACATTGTTTAAAAAAATCCCAGTGGTCACATTTTTTAACCTAGTGAAGGAAATCGCTTTCAAAAGACAAAGCTAAAAAAGGCAGTACCAGATTGTTGAGGCTGCACACACAGAATAGTCTTTGATCCACACCAAGGGATAGCGTTGATAATACGGAAAACTCATTGAGTCCAAATATGTAGAGGGTAGCTGAATGGGACACAAGAGCAGCACGAGAATCATCAATAGCGCACGAAGACCACAATGTAGTCGGACAAATCTGTTGTCGCTAAATGACGAATGCCCTTTCACTAGTACATCCACATAAGAATATTTAACTGTAGATTCAACACTAAGCGAACATACTTTCATACTGTCACTATGAGGATCAGCAATGGTAACGGATCCATTCAAATGAGTGCAGAAAATTCGCTCCCCAACGAAACACACAGATTCTATGCCACCACTATCCGGGCAGATAACCTACAACACTACCTGAGAAGAAAGCATTACTTGCTAAAACAAAAGCCTAATCTAAAATAAATTCTTAGTTTTACAAACACTGCATCACAAAGACTAGATAAAATGCTGTACCTATTGTACAAAAAAACCATTATAGGCACCTGTTACTAAGAAGTATTTGATTTTACAAAAACGTAAATCTGAACTAATGAGAAAAAACTAAATAAATGTTCGCCTTTTTCATATCTAATCAGATAAGGAACCGTGAAAAAAGTAAGAAATGTTAAGTTTTAAGGCCACTGCATACGGAGGAATTCATCAGCGTTTGATCCAACTTTGTAATTAAGACAAAACGGAAATTATCTTACCTTCTCATGGACACATAACCAACCACACAAAATGTTGTATTGCTCTAGAATATCGCTAGCCATTCTGCAATGATCCCAACTTATGTATGACCAATTTGAAAGGATAAAGAATAAAGCTCTCTGTGTTGATCAATCCCTGAGGGATGCTCCACTAATTTGACTTTATCAAGCATGGTTTAGAGGTGAATGAATGCATATCTGACCTTTACTATGACTCGCGGTGGCCTACCGATGTATCGAGCCAGAGCTGCTATCCTCCCAGGTAAGTTTGGTAGCAATCTGCCGACCCCGAAGGGATGAAAGGAATGGTGAGCCACGGACGCGAGGACTGATCCCATGTGTGCTTTGCACAGCGCCACCGACCACTGCGCCACACGCACTCCGTGACGGATTTAATTACTGCAGGTCCAGCTGTTAAGGAGCAGTTCGCAAAGATACAACTAGGTGTCTACCAATGCCGACGCTAATTGGATATCGGTCCTTGAAAATGTTGATAAAGATAACAAAGTTCTATTCAACTAAAAGCGCAGGCACTGGATCGAGTATATCGACAGAAATCAAAAACGCTTGAAACTTACGGCAGGTTGTTCTTTCTTGACACGATGAGCTTCCCCATACCTTCGTGTATAGCCATTGCATGAACGGTCATTCTCTCAATCCGAACATCTCTCCGACTTTCTACTTCCATTTCCTCCATCAAAAAAGAAAAGAAAAACAAACAAATAAACCAGTTAGATTGTGCGACAACATCAGTGTTCAATCAGAAATGCCGTGAAACATGACGGTTAATATGTCGCTTCGATAAGTCTCATAAGTATTTACTGAATAAATAAAACTGTAAACAACAGCGGTGCAAAGAAAAGTGGTGGTTTTTACCACAAAATCCGAGAGGTAAACATGTGATTGCGAAAATTCAACTTCAAACAAGTAGTCAAATGACTTAATTCCTCGGCGAAAATAGTGCATCAGAATTACAGATCAGTATCAAACCAGCTGCTATTATTAGGGGGTGTTGGAAAGTGATCAATCCGCTCCATTCCGTGTACTGGGTACATTTCACCAAAGAGTTCTGGTTCGAGCCCATCTCGCTGCCATCCAGACGACAATTCCGGGTCGAGATCCTAAAACAGTTTATTAGAAAAGAGCAGTCGAACTGTACGTTTCGATTTCATTTCAACGAGAGTGCTTAACCTAAAAACACAAGTAAAAACACTTGCTTGCTTGTATGGAACAGGCTTGTCATTTTCTAAATTTTTCAGTACGCCAGACGCATATGTGGCGACAGATTTATGCTCAGATCTCATAGCCTCAACTAAGATTGGAGTGACACCTACAAAACACAGACATAAAATGAAACTTTCAAAAAGTATATGAAACTCAAAGAACTCAGTCCGATACCAGCATCATCAACATTTCTTGCGCCTTCCGCAGTTTTACTCAACTGGTACAGAAGCCCCAACAGTTCACGTTCGAGAAGTTCGTCCTCTGAGCCGGACACCTCAACCTCAATATTTAAACAACAAAACTGACAGAAAATATCAAGGAAATGTTCCATACTCACATCGCTTCTCGAGAGAAATTCAACAATCAAAGGAATGAAAGTTGGGTCAGCGCATAACTGGGCCGCCACGGCCGGATGCGAGGCCAACTGGTGAAGAGCGGACACGGCACATGAAATGGTGTTGAAAAAATCCAGCAAAAACTACCACCTAAATAATAAGTATAGAAAAAACCTTCCACCACGCCCCATATAGGCACTCCATCGCTTTCCGCAGTTGGATCTTCGCGAATAGTCGCAGCTGCACGACCAAGGATATCCACTGTTAGCGATACAACAGTTTCCCCTCTATCAGTTACCTCCTAGCAAAATAATTTTTATATGAAGTGTAGATGCTATGGAAATCTTACTGATGTCTAATGTAATCTAGCATCCAACCTGCGTGAGTTCTACGAGGTTAGCGCGAAGAAGTGCAGAGTTACGAATAACACCAAGAGCCGCTTTAATCACTGGAGCGCGAAGAGTTGCCAACAACTGCAGAAGTATTGGAAAGCTTCTACACAAACGAAGCTCTTGCTGAGCCTATAAAACCTGACACTTTATAACTATCAAACTGCCAACATATAAGTACAGGTGGTCATCTGAAACGGAAGCGTAAGCTACAAACGGCTAATACACCTGTTCAGCAAATGAGTGTCTAGCAGTGCAGTGACGAAGGGCACACAGTGCAGGTTCTGTCGCTTCTTCAACGTCCGGAAAGCGATTAATTGCCTCTACTAGAGACTCAACCCCACGATTAGAACACAACTGCAAATTTAATGCCAAGTGTATTCTCACCAATATAAAAAGGGACTGTGCTAAAAGATGACTATATCGTGAGGAAAAGATTTAATTCAATATGACCGAATGCCAACGTTTTTTAAGGACAAATCTCAATCTTCTAGTCACTTTATGAAATAGAAACCTCGGAAAACTTACTGTCTGCTTGTTTCGAACATTATTGCAAGTCAAATTACTTAATATTCCACAAGCACACGATGTCTGGGCAGCATCAGCGACACGAATGATCTCTAACAGTCTGACCACCTGAACAACACAAAAATAATAACAAGTAATACTATCTCGAAAAAGATGTAACAATGACACAGATAAAATGGGCAAGAAAATCTGAATTTCCAACCAGAGGTGCTAAGTTATCTTCGTTTGTAGCCGCATCTGAAAGATTTCGTAACGCCACAAGTATTGCCAACAATACTCGATCATCCGTGGCTGCGCACATTTCCTTGTACAATGCCGGTAGGCATCCTGAATACGAACGAAAGAATTTTAAGATGTAGGTGAAGTAAAATTGCTAAAAATCTAACAAACCAAGGCTAATAAGAGCCGCTTTGTTCTGTTGACACACTGACAATGATCTTACACAACGAATAACAGTATACATTAATTTAGGAAAGTCTGTGTAGTGGTTAAGAATTTGAACCAGTGTCTGCGGTCCGCCCAGAGACAGAAACACGATTTTTGACTGTGGATCATCTGGAAGTAGTAATCCCCGAGATAACTCAGCGGAGTTTTGTCACGAAATTCAACAGTCACAAAAATATCCAGTACTCTATATTTTTGAATTCTCCACGTAATGAAACTTACCTAAAAGAAGAAAGTAAAGACTATCAGCTACGAGTGCGAGGAATTTCCAATTGCTTTTAAGGAGCAAAGGTGCAAGTGCTTCTATCGCTCCAAGTATACGAGCTTGAGCCTTCACAGTGTCCACATGCATTAGAAGATTGCGAAGAGTAGTTACAGCGTATTGGACCACCGTCTGAAGAAATAGAGAAATCTTTAACGCTGAAAAGTGACAAAGAAGTGGAATTGTAGAAACAACATCTAGTGGGCAGTAGAGCATTCGAATCAATTCCGCTACACCACCAGATCGAAATATCTGCATTCGCCCTTGAGGATGTTCGGAAATATGGCTTAGTGCTCCAATAGCATCGCGTTTCACATTCATATTGTCGCTTCTGGATAAGAAAATATGTAACAAAGTACACTTGAAATCGCAGGAATGTTAACGCAATCCTTTAACCTCAACAAAATATTTGAATTGGCACAAAGACAGGCTACTTTCGCACACAGATCCGAAAAAATGACCAGAGCTAGCAATTAACTTCTATGTAATACCCACCTGCAAACTTTGATTAAGGCATCAATTAAAGCCGGATACGAAACAATGCTACGATCTTCCTTAGAAATGAGATATACACGCTGCACCGCGCGTGCCACCACTGCCTGAAAAAAACACGAAAATGAAGCACAGTGCCAAAAAATAAGAACACATCGTAGGCAAAAATGTTTAAAATACTCTGATCTACCTCGTCACGGTCAGAAATTAGATCGATTAGATCAGGGACGGGAAGAGCACTGATGTCGGAAGACCCTTCGAATGCAAGAAGGTCAACCACAGCCGTTTTTAGCAAACGAGTTGGAACGGCCATCTATAACCTCGGTAATTAAACGAGAAATGAGCAGCTGCTTAAAAAAGGCCCACAGAAACATTTTTAAAAAACCTGTTCTACAATAGTGGTACGAGAAGGTATACTGGAAGATGGTCCGGCTTCATTTTCAGGAAACATAGTTGCACGTATGCGGGAGGAACGACTTGCAGTGTACATCATATCCGCATCTACAAGTACGCACCTACAAGGCTCCCCAGTTTGCTGACACTAGAACATACTGGTCAACATGACGTTGGAAAACACCTTTATTGTGTAACAATTGCAACGTGAATGTGGTGAAAAGATGATCACCTTTATTTATACTAAGTACCCTCTATAGGCAACAATAATTGAAGGTATTGACATAAAGAAGCGAGTTCAAAGATTAATTAAACCATTAAGATGTTCATTGTAAAGAATAACTTCAGGTACTGTGAAAACATGTAGTTGAATTTTCGAGCTTACACGAGGTTCATAAATACATTTATTCAACTAGCGTTTCGACGCCTTCGTCTCCATCACACTCTGAAGACGAACAACCTGCTCTGACGAAGACGTTAAAAAGTTGGCCGAATAAATGTGTTTATCATCCTCGCGCAAGCTCAACAGTTTAAATACATGCTGATCATTTTGCTATCGGGGTTAAATGATGGTCGGTTTGAAAATCGTGAGAATAGATGCTATTAGAAGAAAACAGGTACAGAACACGAATACTGGATAGTCTCATCCTTTAGCCTAGCATTTCTGCAGCCTAAAAAAAATAGATGTAAAGATGAATTACCTTGGTAGGCACGATAAAGTTCATTTATGTAATCGGAACCATTGTTGATGCCTGCGCCAATATTCATAGACTGCATCTGATTGCCAACTACTAGCACGTCGCCTCGCATCTGAACAAAACGAAACGAAAGACACGAAACCATGTAACTTCCAGTTGATAGCACTACAGGTAGAGTACGATTTAATGGACAGGGCTATTCCGAAAGATGGCAAAGAAACATGGAATCTTCCAAAGACGATTAAAAAAGAAAACTTGAAATTACTAGGAAATTGAAAATAGTGAAGAAAAGAAGTCGACGGACAAACAAAAAGCGGAGCTTTACATCGCTTGAACAGCATCACCAATCAAAAGTCACGAAAGCAATTTCGGCGAGAAAAAACTGTCGTGAAGATTTGACGGTATGGCCCAAACCCACTAACATGACATTCGAATGAACCCTATAGAATCAACAAAACATATGTGGTCATCTTATCCATAGAAAAACTTGACACAAAATGATGTGAAATTTATTCGCAATATATCATACAATAGAACATTAGAATACTGAAACAAGTAAGTATAGAACTATATGATGACAGATCAGAACATTTACGAGATTAAGTAAACCAGTAACACCACAGAAAACATGTTCAAAAAAAAGGCAGCGCACGTTCAAACCCTTAATGAAGTTGAAAGATCCCAGTGAATCCCTCCTTGATATCAGTTGGCATGAAGCAGTACAACACAGGTGGGAAATAAACAGGCACTTCTAGGGCATATGTACACTACCACAACGAACTTTTCACAAAGGTAGAAAACGTGCTGAACCAGCCACCCTGTTTACGACCACCAACAAAGTCGTTGGTGACAACGCATGAATTTGGGTCCAATGGTTCTAGGTCGTCTAAGTAGTCAGGTAATCTCGTAGCCTGTAACATAACTATCGTCTGTACAGTTAAACGAAATCATTTATGCTGACAACTATTAATCGCGAAGGAAATGAACAAAACATGGTGTGCAACAAACCTTTTTCTCTCGTTCGCTAGCATATATCTTAAAATGTTCATCGACGCCATCTATTTTTACAACCTGAGTTATCATATCACAACCACAATCAAAAAGCAAGTCAGTTATCTCCTAAAGTATGCCACTGCTTCCTTCGTACTAATCTGTCCTCGAAAGAACACAACAAGACAGTATGAACCACTGACAATAGCATCAACGGTAAGCACTGTACGAATAACTGCTCTGTTAGTGGCCAAATTGAAGTAGATACTGATGACTCCCTTTTTGGTCAAAATACGACGTTCAATATCAGTTTTTAACTCCTAAAATGGAGGTGCTCACAATAGCACTGAGTAAGAAGGAATGAAACAGCTAATCTACCTCAGGCAATTCATCGAACTCGTAAATCAGTTGCTTAGATCTACGCGCAACAAACTTTCGGGAAACAGGTGCATTATTATCGTTGTCGACAAAATCATTATCTCTGGAAACATTTGTTGTTGAGGCGGCCACATCTCTAAATTATAAATAAACTTTAAATATATCTGCTCAATACTCCGGGATGAGTTTCAACCAAATGGGGCTACAAGAGCCAAAACAACTTGGAAAAATTTTCTGCCACAATTTCAGTGAATTCTTCGCAAACCGAAAAACATGTACAGGAACTAACTTGTTATTGGCCACTCTGCCTTGGGAAGCTTTAAGGCGGGAAACAACTATTAGAATATTGTAGATGATGTTGGGAGGAAACGACTTCTCAGCTGCTTTGGAGAGATTTTCTTCAAGACCAAGAATGTTATTCAAAATTCTCGTATCATCTGGATTTTCCGATAGATACAGAAGAATCTGGAGAAATAACATGGATATAAATATTCCAGAAAAGAAGAGAAAATTAGTATATATGACAAAAACCATAAGGATGGAGAGGAAATAAGAAATACAAGGGCGGAAAATGACAAGAGAATATCGACAGATTACGGTTGTAAACACAGAAATCGTTTGCAATATGAGTCCATAGAAGCTAAGCAAATTAACTGTACCAATTTCAAAACCTTGTAACGTTGCCATACTTATACACTCACTGTATAAATGAATAAAAAATGCACAACACTCCCACTGGCTACCTAAAAACATTCGTTTCTCGACGAGATCTGCAAAAGGCAGTTTCTCGAACACGCCTGTTTGCCTTCACCGTTCCCGCACGAACTTCTTGGTTCCTTTAAAACAACGAAACATAGAGGATCGTTTCTAATGAAGAAAAACACGATGTCTCTTCTATATGAGGCACTTCGGCAGCTATGCATCGGCTTTACTTCACACCGAATGTGCAAATAATAACGTACCATTCTATGTGTCGCCACCGAAAGTTACGGCTCACCGCAGCCGCATTAAAATAAAAAATAAGAATATGAGCATTGTTAACACTTTTATTTACTGCTTATTACGACTTTTCACGGCAGGGTATTACGTGTGATACAACCAGAATGGTGCTGAGATATTTGCAAAACTCCGGATCGCAAGTGTATACGGCGGCGATCAAAGTGCTATCACCCTTTCCGGGGCTAATGCATTCACCACCACACCATGCCTGCCCTTCGTTTCGCATTTAGTTTTTCTATTTACCAGTGCCATCAGCAATCTCCCGTTTGGTCTGGTGGTGAACCCGTTAGCCCCTGGAAAGTGTAATATCGCGTTCTTTACCCACTGTGCACATATGTGGACCGGAGTTTTGCAAATATTTCAGCATTATTGTAGTTGCAGCACACATAATATGAGCACTATTCTTTTGAAAGAGAATAGCTAGAACAAGTAATGCCAAAACCTGCAGAGACAGGCAAATAGTTAACAGCTAATAAATCATGCAATAAAAGAGTAAAGAATTAAAATCACAAATATGTTCTTCACCTAATACGAACTACAAAATTTCGCAACACTTTAACCGACCTTAACAATGTAAGTCATGACAACAACACGTTCATCTTCGAGCAAACTCTTTAGAATATGCAGAAAGGTCTCATCCTGCAAATAATAAAGTCAGAATCTTACAAATGAATAAATAGACGAACAAATACCGAAAAAACCACCACCTTAAGTATAACAGGCCTCTGATTTGGCTTTGAACATAGTTTAAGATAGGTTTTTAGTGTTGATGTGATTTTATCCTGACCACAATCTCCCATTATATCTGAAAGAAGAAACAAGTTTATTCTCCCTATGATCCCTGTGAACACTGTTTATCTTAGGCCTATAACCTTAAAAAGTCGAGAGTCAAAAAGAGGAAGAAAAACGTACAAGGAAGAACAGTCAGGATGTAGAAAAGCACGAAATATTACGTGTAAGGTTAAGTGGAATTCACCGATCACAAGGAGGAATAAAGAGTGAAATAATAATGTTTACTAAGAGAACAAGTTACATACAGCCAACCCACAACTATAAGGAAGAATAGATAGTACTGATACTAAACAGAATAGCGTGGGCAAATTGAGGATTGTTACAGTCGTTTGACATTGGAGCGCGAAATTCTTTACAGAAAGAGTGGGCAATTGAACAGTAATGCAATAACAGAAACAGTCATCAAATCAAGAAAGAAACAGGTGCTGGCATCAACAAAACATGATATCGAATCGAAAAGGAAAAAAATAACAACAAATAAATGTCTCTTCGGACGTCTATTTTCGCTTAACCTACTCAGCCGTTCATTTTTCACTTTTCAGAAAAAATGAGACTATTGCAATTATACACGTAACGTTAAACAGATTGATCTATCATTCGACAAGAACAGTCACTGAATGGAGTAGACAAGTTACTTAGGTGATCAATGCAAAGTTGTTAAATACTGATATTTATTAACATAGCAGTGCAATTGCTATATTAATCGATGTCACGTATTAGTGTATCACATAACCTCATACACTACATGGACACAAATAAACGTATAATAGTTTAATTGATAAGTGCTGCTGGCTACCCATCAGAATACTTCTTTCCAAATAACTCGTTTAAAAATGCCATTCCTCCTGACGGTTTACCTTCCCATAGTGGCTACGAGTGTTCCTGGGTATCGGGCTGCGATATACAACAGGAGATTCATCTCCTGGCAGAGTCGCCCGTGCTGGGGAGAATATGCTAGATCCCGCACAACCGGTGACGACGGGCCGTCCATGTATCCATGTAAATATAAATGTCTTACATGCTTTCAATATTACTATAATGCTAGATAGCAAAGAAGGTAAAAGTAAAGTAAACGACACTGCAGCAGTAGACTGAACAAAAAGAACCATCGAGATAACTAAATTCTGTATCATCCAGTTTTTAATGCCCTCTGCTGAAAAACGAATGCAATCGAGTGTGTATAGAAGTAAATTACGACCACCATGATCAATAATCGATCCATTACCATAAGTTATTCTTTAAAACGAGCATATTTTACGGTACACTCCTTGCCTAAATAGCATCGTAAGGAAAATGAGCACTAGTGAAGAATAGTCTTCCCAGATGTTAGACGTCCTTGTTTTCGATCGACCTGCATTACACAGCATATCGAGATCGGCCAGTTATATCGTCCTTGATCGATATAAATCGAGTATTCGCAGAAATTGTTACAGTTACAGGAATTGATGTCGTTTTGTGAGAATCCCAGCCACGAAGGGCGAGGAACTTCCCTCCGATCCACCAAAACTACCGATTACACTAGTTTGAATCAGCATTAAGCATGTCCCCTATTGAAGATGACAGAACTCGTGTCGGAGCCAACACATTAGTTAGGCCACCTTTTCCTAGATAACGATTCTAAGAATCGAAAGGATCGAATCAGATAAGACACGTACAGGCTCAGACAACACGTAAAGAAAAGCGCGATCATCAACATCAGATCTAATCGACATTATCGCCGTAAATATTATCCTATCAGTAAAACAGATTACTGTTCTTCTCTGATGAGACATCTACTACATCTGCCCAAGCAGTGCTGACGAACTGGATTTTTTTTCTGCGCAATTGAGCTTCTTCGTAATAACCCAGAGTTAAGCACCTTCCGGCAATCAGGTTTTCACATCCATTCTGTTTGTTTTGATCCAGTTAATTAAATAGCTTCCGAAATTCCGCTCGGTCGCTAGGCTGAGTTTCACTAACTGCCGATGAAATGCTATTGTATAATTACACTAGAAGAAATGACTACAGACTGTGATTCGTTTAACGAAAAATTCAACGTAGTTCAGGGCGATCCCTAGGTGTGGTCACGATCAGGGCATTGATGCGAGGATGGTAACACCTTTCAACAGATTTTCTTTAGAACGTGGACACAACTCGTCGTAGGACTACGCACTCATCCTTAATTTCCTCATAACGAATTACAAACTACTTTCTACCTAGTGACTTACTACAAGACATTCTTGCAAAATTGTACCCATGGAAACTTTGCAGCGGTTATCGTAGAGTGTAGCCGATTCACATGTTTCCTTGTCAATAATTTTTATCTATATTCCCGTGGTTTCCCATGTAACCTACGGTTCCCGATTTGACTGCCCTCCAGTGATCAATCTGAAGTCGGCAGAGCACCCCTCGAATTAAAACATTATCCTACGGTCATAATGAAAGATGTTTGTTTGTTTTAATACGAAATAACGACTAGCAGAATATCCAACATAAACAAGTCACTTTATAACACACATAGGAACAATGGCAACTCCGAATGACTATTAAGAATAAGCACGATTGAGGAGTAAAACAACTGGACTTTCACTTAATCTCAGCACAAATAATCAACTGCGTTAGTGCTACAAACTCTCCTTGATGAGCGTACACAAATTTGTTAACACGCTTTTTTGACCTTCGACCATTGACGTTTACGCGACTTCGCTTTTATCAGACCCCGGACGCATTGTTCTATTGTCTCAATTGGTGAATATTCAACAGTCCTAATGAAAATTTAATAAAAGAAAAAGAAGATAAAGCTCTCGGTGTGAACCAATCCCTTAGGAATGCGCCTTGCATTCCACTTCATTAAGCATCGATTGGAGGTGATTGAATGCATATCTGGCCTTTACAATGACTCACGCTGGCCTTCTGATGCATCAAGCAAGTGCTGCTATCCTCCCAAGACAAGCCTGGTAGCAATTTACCGACCTCAGAGGGATGGAAGGCTTAGTGGGCCACTGGTGCGAAAAGCGATCACATGTGTATTGCAGGGAGCTACCGACCACTGCAGAACACGCACCATAATGGAAATTTAGTAAAGAAACTAGAACGAAATTTTTTAAAAATCACTCCACCGTCTTCGATTAATAAAGGGTGAGCCCACCCATATTCTATGTGGCTCCTAGCCATTCTTCTATGCCAAAAGCCGATCCTGAGATAAGTCTACTAGAGCGTTCCTATCCTCCCAACAGTTAACCGCCTCATAGTGGCTGGAAAGTGTTCTTGGGTGTCGGACTGCGATGTACAGCGGAGGATTCGTCCCCTCGGAAGGGTCTCCCAAGCTGAGGAGTCCGGCGTCTCCATCAGGAAGCCTAGCTAAAGGCAAACCAATACCAGGATCCACCACTGTCTTGGTAACAAAATCGTATGGTGGTAAATCTCCCTCTGGTCCACAAGGGCTGCGACTGCCTGTCGTCACCACGACTTTAGCCAGGCTGTCCTCGAGATTCCAGAGAACCACAGTGGCTTAACTAGCAAATCCCCGAAAAATGGTGATTATGCTGGGGCCCGCACAACTAGTGATGACGGGCCGTTCAAGTATCAAGTAAATATCAACAGCGTTCCATATATCCAGGGGAGGGAATTGTTTCTTGCGACATAGGGCGACGTAATCCCATCGAACCGAATCCCATTAAGACAATAGAATATTTAGCTAATAATAACGATACGACTATATAACAGTATATCAAGGCTCTGATGAAAGTGAAGTAGGCGAAAGATCATTTAGCGAATATTAAAGATACGTGTTAACAATCCCGTGTCAGCTCATCAAGAAGAGCTCGTTAGCCTGAACTAAGGAACCACTGACATTAATGTGTCTATAAATATGTAGATGCGAAGTGTAGTCTTGGATATTCTTTGAGAAAGACTAT